TGTGATATAGTAAAAGAAAACTTATGTAAAATAAAAAGACAAGGTTTATACCTTTAAAGATGAATGCACAATATTGTTCATCCACGTTAGAGAGTTGTGACTTTCTAGTTTAGACTTCTCAACTGGGCTAATCAGTGGCTTCAGCCATACGTCGGATTGGCCTGATTTCTTCAAAAGATTACCATACTGCAGGAATCTCGATGGTAACTTGTTTCATCCCCCTACTGCTACTAGAAGAACCAATTTTAGCATGGGAAGTTATGGCAGTAGGAACAGTCGAGAAAGTCAAAATAGCCATAGGAGGAGCAGTGGCAGCAGCAGCAGATACGGGCAACTGAGGTTTAATTGGAGCAGATACAGGAAAAGAGGCAAGAGGTGCTTCCTCAGAAATAAAGCCAAAGCTTTCTTCATCAAATCCACGAGAAAAGAGTTGTTCAGTAGAGTCACGGGGTGCTGCAGGCGTCTCTTCATCAGAACTCACTAAAGTAGCACTCTCAGGCTCGAACATGGGAACAGAACTAGGAGGAGGAGTAGCTTTGTCATCCGAAATGACCCGTCTTCTAGCTCATGGCTTACGAACTAACGAGCCTTCATCCCGCTCCTCTTCGTCTTCAGAGTTCTATGGTCTATCAGCTTTTCTTTTTGATGAGGAACTCAAGATTATCTCTTGAGCCTTTGATAGAGAGAGTCTCGAAGCAGTGATTGATGCAGCACTCACACCCCGAATGGGAAACCCTAATAAAGAAAAGGGTTAATAAGTCCCAGGATAAACATGAAAATAAAGAAGAAAGTGAAAGAGAAAATTACTGTGAGTCTTAACTCTCCATCCAAACCTATTTGAAGGGTATTTCCAGGACCATACTTCCATTGGAGCAATTGTTAACATTTTTTCTACCCAACCACGAAAATCAGAAATTTCCTCAATAGTTCCCATGGTTGCTGAAAAAGAAAAAGTAAAACAGTTATGAGAGTACAAGTTCTTTTCAAAAAAAAAAGAATTGGAGGTGAAACTCACGTGCAAAGTTCCACTTCTCAGGGAAGGGCATGTTTTCTTTGCCTACTAACCCACTAGTAGGAGCGGCAACAAATTGGGCATACCAGCCACGATCTTTTTCATCTTCAGGGCTAACCAAAACTCTCTTACTTCTCGCCACGAGAGTAAAAACCCCATGACGGAATAATTTGGGAGAGTAGAGATGAATCAGATGGTAAAAGGTAAAGAGTAACTGAGCCAGATTTGACAAATATCTAAGGCATGCCACATCCCTCCATACAATAGGGCCAATCTGTCCTAAACACACATCAAAGAAATGACAAAATTAAATGATAACTAGGTCAATAGGTGGACTAAAGCCTAATGTGAAGGGATATGTATACACAAAAGAAAAACCAGATTTAATCGAAGTGATCCTTTGATTTTCATTAGGGAACAAAATCGGGAAGTCAAATTTCCAATGGCAATCTCTACGTACAACAGAAATTAAACCCTTAGTGATCTGGGAAGGGTAAACATCAGGGCGATTGTGAGAAGTCATGGAAGTAACCTGATTTTTAATTAATTCTCTATCTGTGACAAAGGAAAGTTCAGCAGAAATAATCTCGTCGACAATAGGTTCACGAAGCGGTTCACTAGAATCTCTATTTCTAGCAGAAGATCTATGTGAAAAAGAAGCCCTAGTTCTAGAAGATGGAGGAGTAAGACTGGGTTGAGAAGAAGAACTACGTAGAGAAACTGACCCTAAACTACATAACCTACCACCTCTCCTACTTCTGGTAGGAGCAGAAGTAAGAGGAAATTCGTCGACAATGAGAACTTTTCGAGGATCAGGATTTGAAGAAGGCATAGTTGTATGAAGAAGTAGAACATATTGAAGAACAAGAACAAGTTATGAATAAAGAAAACTGCAGAAAATTGTTTCGTGAAAGCAAAGGCAAAGGATGTATTTAGATGCAGAAGCAACCGTCATGCAAGAAAGGTAATGATGGAAACATCATTATAAAAACTGTCACTTCGTGACTGATGCAGCCGCAAAAAAGCCCTATAACCCGCTGAAGAGTTGTAGAGCCAATCGATGACTACCACGTGTCACATACATTAAATGGAAGTGATATATGACGCATTAGTTCAGAAGAAGGTACAATGGTACGTGAAAAATAGCGGCAAAAATTCCCGCCTTAAATGAGATCCACTTCCCAAATATTCAATTGCTGAATACTTGGTAAGTGGGGGGACTATCTGTATTAGGAAAAATAAATATTACACGTGGAATTAATTATGTGGCTGACATGGCAAGACATGTGGATCACTAGAAAAGCGACAGTTGGAGAAGAGTATTAATAAAGACGTGAGACTTAATAGGTACAAGCAAAACGTCTAAGAGACGAGAAGAAACGGTATCTCGAGTCTCTTTAGCGATTTGAAAAGACACCGGTGGAACGAACCAAGACAATAAAAAGGACAGATTCATTGGTCTTCAATTAATGAGCATGAATGATTACAAACTTTACAGAATCTTCACAAAACAGTTACGATTACCAAATATAACGTTTCATTAATGTCATTGATGCTCATAATGACTCGATCATAAAAGGAAAAAGACGTTGTACTTAGAGATGATTATATAAGGAAAAGAAATGTCATTTGTACGGAAACATTCTGATTATTATTCGAATACAATTATTTTGCTTTTGCTTTCTACTGATTACTTTGTTATTCTGATTTCCTTTCTTATTTCAAGAATATCAATTTCCTTGATTATCAGTAACCTGAGTACTTCTAATCTGAAGTCTTTCGAAGAATGGTGATAGATATCATTTTTTTATCTGCAGCTCTAGGTATTGGCTGATAACGTTGTTCAGAGTTCTGAAGTATCACACTCGTAGTGGGGAGTATGAGCTCCATGACCTTGTAAAACTAGAGTAAGTCTTTTTTCTTACAAGAGTAAGGGGAATGTAGTAAACAGTTTATTCCTTTTCGAACCAATAGCTAAATTCTTAATTGAATATGTTTTGTGCAGCAATGAAAATTTTGGTGTGATAATACGTGTACACTGTGAAGCCTTCCAGGTGAGTACTATAGTTTTGAGGTTGAATTATTCTTTTAATGTGTTGCTCACATTCAAATGTTAATAGGTCCTTAAGGGTGTGCCTGGTAGACCCGAGGTAGCACTTGTTGGGCTTAGAGAGATCAAAGAGAAAGTTGAGAATAAAGAAAATGCCCAAGATCGCTTTAAGAACCAATCGGCGGTGAAAGACATGATAAAAATTATTGAGGTCCTTACAAAGTGAGTATTAGACTTCCAAAAGATTTTAATGTTACTTGCATTGTTCTTATGTTGTGTATGTTGTCGTCATAACCATTATTTTTACTTATAGGGAAAACAAGGTCCTGTAAAACACATCTTTAGTGGAACTATTTTTATTCATGATCGCCATCATCTTGAGCATGCTGGTTTTATTTGTGCTAAAAGCCAATCTTGTGAGTTGATTGGTGGCTCAGGGGAAAATGGTGATAGAAATGTATGGCTGTATTTTATGCTTCTGGAAGTTTGAGCTATTGTTTTTGCAATTTATCGTATCTATTTTCTTGCTATCTGAAAATTGTGCTTACAATGGAGCTCCTGTAGGGTAAACCCTTCTCATCAAGACTTGTGCATCTTAGAACTCCATCTCGTGCTCCTCAATCTCCAATGAGATCGTCTGGAGGTGGCCCGGCTATGAGCTGTAAGTTTCTGATAATGGTGCTTTGTTGATGCTCTAAGTTATTCCTTTTATTTTGTTCACCTGTGGAGTCCTTTTTTTTAATCATTTGGCTTTTATATTAAATGCTATTTGTCACATTTGTGATCTTTATTTTCCTGTGTTCCATTTAAATCATTATTCTCTTAACTTTTATGCTTGGTGTGCTCTAGATGGAGGCAGACAGAGAGGTGGAAGAGGGCATGATGCTTTAGTTAGAACTGTTGTGAAAATTCGCCTTGGGCCCATTAAAGGGTGTAAGGGGTGAGTTGTTGCTATCCAAGGAACTTCAGTCCGAGTTGAACTGGAAACCCAGATGAAAGTTGTTTCAGGCAAGTTTTTCTTCAATCTGGGTGTCCTCATTTTTTCTTTCTTGGGTTGGGGGGTAGGGGTTGAATAAAAATGATTTGTCTCGCATAAGAAAGAGAGTTTAGAGTGCCATACAAAGAACCTTAATAAGGGGATTCTTAGAGAATACTTTTCCAGATTCAACTTTTTCCTTTTCTGGCGGAGATTTTGTGTAACCTCAATTACTCCAATTTTGAATTTGAAAAAAGAAAGATATATCTCATTCAAATTTCACACTGAGCTTTTGATATATGCGTCCCAGTACTAATCCAAGGAAGGAGGATATTCAAAAAAATCAAACAAGGATTCCCTGCAGCCTTCCAAATAAGAACTGGCCAATCCATGGGTATACCATGAAGTTACAAAGGTTGTACCTGTGAACCAACCCCCTATAGCGAAATGTCGGCTATTGATTGAGCTGTTTGTCACAGTACAACTTGAAAAAATTTACAATGTATTGACACAGGATCAGTCATATTTATGTCGACGCATTTGAAATGTTCTTTAACTTCTTTTCTTTATTGCTTTTGCTCTCCACCTTAGGAATTCAGTTTTGCTTTCCGTTACCTTAAGGAACAGTAGGGTTTAATGTGAGAGTATCACGAAAACAGGGTTAAGTGTTAAACACAAAGGGCCCTCCTCTTTGTAATTTTCGTGGAGGGAAGCTTAATTGAATCCCCTTTTATGGACACCATCATCCAAATTTCGCAGATTTTTCCTTTTTTGAAGTTTTGTTTTCCAACTGTTGATTGCTTAACATTCATTGTTGACTGCTATGTTTATTGCAGTTGATCGCAATCATATTGCGGATAATGATGGTGTTTCCACAGCGTTCCGGTAAGTATATTTCTGTCGCAACCTTTGAGTTATTGAGTGTTCATTGTCTTATTATTTCTATGTTTCTAGGGAACAATATAGATATGGTTTCGGAAGTGAAACACCATCACATCCTTCGAGGACTCCGCTTCATCCATCAATGACACCCATGAGAGATCCTGGAGGTCCATTTTTCTTCTTCTTTGTTGCAATGGTGTTCTTCATCTAGTTTTCTTTTTCATATGTTTGACCTTAGCTTAGATTTTTGGTTATTTTCATCCATAACAACACCTATCCATGATGGCATGAGGAAGTTGATGCCTGACAGAGCATGGAACCCAATTAGTCCACCTAGGTATGTGTTACAGACTCATTCATGGGTAAAGTTTATTCAAGGCAAGGTCCTTGATCACGCCCAACTATGCCTTATAAAAAAAACAAAACAGTCGTTGTAAATATATTCCGGTTAACAAGTCCGAAGTCGAATGCCACAGGGAATTAACCAATTAAACACAGCTATTGGACTCACACAAATTCACGTATTCAATCTTCAGAAATATTTAAGTAATAAATTGGATTTTCACTAACTAAATATTACGTAATAAAATGCAATAAATAAGAACTAACTACGAACGGGTTGTAGACAAGAATTGGAATGATTGAAGGTTTTGATTTCCCCTATTGTCAGAATCCTTTCCGCTATGTTTTTTATAAATTTGCCTAAGTTGTCTCTATCGATTATGAGTACTCTGACTATCGTAACTCTTTCCTGTGTAATTACCACAATATACTAGACATATTCTCCCGTATTACGCTAGCTGGCCTTAAGTACAACACACTCAGATCGAAGCAAGATTTCGTTATCCCTAATTCCACCTTTAAACCCTTCATATTGATCCCTCATATACGTTAGGAGTGATATTGTTCAATAACTACCTAAATATGTACTCTCTCTCGAGCAATACATACTAAATAGGAACAGTTAATTGAGGGCCCTTCAATCAACAGCAATAAGCATATAGTTGAACAAATAGAGAGAATACTATGGCAAATTTATATTAACGTAACAAGAAAATCATCCTTCAACGGGTTCCATCAAAACCCTAGATTAGGATTTTAGCTACTCATACTCATAGTAACAATATCCAAAGTATTTTGCATAATTAAATTACAAAATAAGGATAAACGGATGTGGAAATCGATGATTCTAACTCCCAACAGGTGTTCCACGAGCTATCCTTTCCTCCGGTTGCAAAGGTCCTTCAAAGTGGCATTTTTGGGTCTATTTATATGTTTAGGACAAGACCTAAATGTGTAGGTCAAATCCTAATCAAGCCGGGAAACGAACTAAGTCTTCAAAACTTGGACTGGATCTCGCCCAGGCCTGGCGTCGCCAGCCTAACGCCTGGTAGGCCTGGCCCCAGGCCTGGCGTCGCCAGGTCTAATTCCTGGCTCTGCTTGGCTTTTGCCTTGCATCTCCAGCCTAAAGCCAGCTTCAAGCCTGGACTTTGCCTTGTATCGCCAGCCTAACGCCAGCTTCAAGCCTGGCATCGCCAGGTTCTCTCATTCACTGCTCCCACGCACGCTTTCGACTTGTAGGTCTCCTTTTGCTTCTACTTTCATCTCCAATTCATCTACACATAAAATGGACCCTATAACACGCAAATAAAGTGTAATTTATCATTAAAGCGTATAAAAATGCAAGGAATAATGTGCTAAACCATGAATTATTGCCACACATCAATACCCCACACTTAAACATTGCTCGTCCTCGAGCAATCAAACTACACTCATAGGCACAACCTATTAGGCAATTCCCTTAACTCATTATACCAAGAATCTTTAAAATAGTTTAAGCACAAAGGTGTGATATCCTCGCCTCACGATTCGACTCACAAATACCATGCCTTATTCACAATTTACTTACTTACTCTAACATGGAAGTCAACAAATTACCTTTCCTTTATGAATCATGTGCCCTCACCCAATCAAAGAGCTTAGTTCCACACACAATTAATTTTAATAACGTAGGAACTCAAGATAGGAAAAATTCACGCGCTCTCAGAAATAACCTTCATATGCACCATAAGCTTGCCCGTAGTGTAATACTCTATTAATCGAGTTCATTCAGTCTAAGATCAAATAGGACTTTCATTGGTTGTAATGTAGGTTGTGGGTCGGGTAGGATACATTTGGATATAAGTGACTACATCTCCCTTAATACTTTAATACAAACACTTTAACCTTCAAGCTCATACTTATGTCAAACCAAATCTCCACCTTAACTTCACTATATTTTACCCCATACTTCTTTGAGCACCAGTATATCAAAAGCCACCACCATCAAGAATTATTTTTCATACACTTCAGCTATTATATTTTGTTTCTTTCCTTTTTTTCTTTTCTATCCAAATGGCTTTTATTGACACATTGTTTTCTTTCAAACAGTGCACCTTTCTCCTTATTTCACTTGTTCCACTCAAAAGCCAACCCACCACCCCACACTTTAACTTTTCCATAATTCATCACAATTCAAGTGCTCATGAGAGGTGACATGGTTCAAATATATGGTCGATTCAAACAAAAGGGTACGGCTTGTAATGTGGTTACCAAAGAAAGAAGATTATAGGCTCAAAGGGGTTAACTACGATACATAACATTTATGTGGGTACTCTATATATATCTGGCTTAACAAAGAACCGCATATATTACTTCTCAGACTGAACAAGACTACTATTTCGCTTTGCACACACACGGGGCAAGTTCTAGACATCAAATGCAATACATAGAATACACACAAACCTCACACAGACATGGCACATAACTCATTCAAGGTTGGTTTTCATCACGACACTCCAGTCAAAGCAGTTAAGCAAATTTAAGAATCTACAATTTAAGGTACTTATACTAGAGTCAAAAATTGAGCCTAAGCGTCACAACCAGAGTACTGGCTATTCTCAAGACATCACAAAGCTCAGAGATATTGATGCGATAAAATGCATAGCCACGTGGTTTCTACTCCTAAAATTAAAACTAACTACACCCGGTTCAACTAAAAACCCTTGGAAAAGAACCGCGGCCCAAAGAAAAACCAAGGAGGAATTACTACACTACCTACACAAAAAAATCTTTTTGGTATTTTCTTTAGACTTACTTCCCTCAAGAAAATTGTCTAGGAGATCCATCGTCGGGAAGAGTCCAACATTTATATGTTTTTTTTCTGACTAAAAACAACTAACAAGAAAAAAAATTCTTAAAACAACTAGCTAACAAAAACAACTCTTACTAAAACAACAAAGAAAACAACTACAACTACTAATTTCTACAAGTTCCCACCCCACACTTAGATCATACATTGTCCTCAGTGCATGCACAAATTGACAAAACAAGAAATGAAAAGAGTAGGGTGCAAGGAAACTCCCTGATCAAGCAGCGTCTTCATCCTCTGATGCTCTCCACTCTTCATCATGTTCGTCCTCCTCCTCATCATCATCTCCCTAACCATTTGATTGCTCTAGCTCAGCCTTAGACTGCTCAGGTGTGTTGATATCCTCATTATCGAGGAGTCTGTATCTATCTCCTAACCCAACCAGCTACTGGGCACGAGCATTAAGAGAGTACCAGTGCTCCAATTATGTCCTCTCCTTAGATGTGGCCGACTGACCCCCTATCCTCAGCTGCAAATCCATCATCCCATAGAGATGGTCCATAACACTATCATCACGCGCATTGCACTCAGCACCTGTCAATGATGGCATAGCAGTCTCTTCTTTCAGCCGGAGATTAGTGATGTCCATTTGTCGGATGGGCTGATCGATGGTGTGGTCAAACTCAGGCTCCTCCTCAACCCCCTCGTGCCTTAAGAACTGAGTCAAGAAGTTAGCAAATGGCATTCGATCAACTTTCTTACTCGTTCTTACTGATGACATCTGGTAGCGGATCAGATGACCCACATTCACCCGTTGACCTGTCATAAGGAAGTATAGCACACATGTCCTCTCACGGCTAACTAGCGTGTCATGATTGCACGGTAGGAGCCGTGCGTTTATCAGTTTAAGCCACACCTGAGCCTCCGCCTTCATCTTCTTCTTAGGGAATCTCTTGTGATGGTTTGTTACCTTATCCCGGACCCTCGCAGCCGTAGAGTCGACACCACAAAGCGTGTGTCTCAGCTCTCAATATGTAGACCGGAAAATGAATTGGTCCAATGGCTCCACAGGAACATTTGGCACACCTAAAATGTCGCATATAGATGTGGCTGAAAAATCTATCAAGCGTCCACGAATTGGCACTAGTTGTTCAGTATCCTGTGGGTCAAACCCTGCATAGAATTCCCAAACCAGGTTGAGATTGATGTCCCCTGTGTTCATAAAAACATAGCTTAACCCCAAATCCTGCATGCCTCTCCAAATTGCCTGATACTTCGCTTTCAAGCTACGTTCCTGGATGGCTGCTTCCAGATGGACATGTTTAGGACTACAGCGCCTGTACCAATCCTTCGTATGTGGGGATATGCTGTTTATGCCAAACTTCCATTGTCCTTGGGGTTGTGGACGCATGGCAGCTACAGCTACCACGACTTGTGCTCCACTCAGACTAGAGGTAGCTTTTCCCCCTTTTCTCTTCTTTAGAGGAGGTGCGAAGGTCGCCTTTGCTTTAGATGGGGCAGTTGAAGTGGCCTTTTCTTTGCCTGTGTCTTTTCTGGGAGGCAACTTCGTTCCTACACAAATAAGCACTAGTCAGATAAAACTGCATTACACACTACACACATAATCTTGCCCAACTTTCTGAGGTTACTCAGACCTCACCTCGTATCTTCTTAATATTAGAATCAAAAAACAACACATGGGATACCCGTGAGCCACCCCAAACTTAAGATTTTAACGTTGTGAATGACTACGTAACACTAGTCTATTAATCCCGGGATTGGGCTCCATTGGGGACAAAGAATGCCATTGAGGCATTATATCAAACACTTAACAAGCACTAGTGCCATGGGAGTGCTTATGGAGATGAGTGATTGCCTCATCCTCCCAAATCGGTTTGGGGGTTCCGTACTACCACATGTTTTTACAATCGCTGCACCATTCCTATGGGGTTCATGGGGTTGGGGCACACAAACACGATACTACAGTGAAGAGCAACCACCAACTTTTGTGTGTAATTGTATACCTGTACCCAACTC